GATCATCACATGTTTTTCCATCTCCTCATCCACATGCACCAAGCTTTCAGTTGCTTTGAGAGCCAGAATTCCCAGGAAAAAGAGCCAAGCCCAGGCAGTGAGGGGAGTTCTCTGGGCACCTCCTCACACAGAGCTTTGGTTCTCACCCTGAAAAGCACCCTGACTTCCAACTGCTGGGGCCAGGAGTGCAAAATACTGTAGGGATGGACAAAGGACAGGAAAATTGATCATAAATACCAATAAATACCAATAAATCCCCAAGGCAGCCCAAGCCCGTGGCCCTGGAGCACTCCAGGCTCCTGCAGAGCTGCAGTTTGGGCTGTACCTGTTGCAGCAAAGCCAGGCTGGAAAAGAGCATCCCACCAACAGCATTCCCAAATTTCAGCTCAGGGAAAGAGCTGCCAATTGCCTTGTTTTTTGAACACAGGATGGAGCAAGCAAAACTCTGCCTTTCTCCTGCCACCACGGGAGATCTCCAGCTCCATTCCCAGCCTCCCCATCTGGGCTCCCGCCCTTGTGCTGCCCCAGCCTCCCACTCAGAGCAGCTCCTCTTGCTGCAGGCAGCTCTGCTCCCTGGAAACACCAGTGGAACACGGGCCTTGGCATGGGGAGGCACCAATGTGAGTGATGGATGGATGCCCTGGAGTTTTCATTCCCGGGGATTGCACGTGTGGAGAGCAGGGTTTGCATCGGGCGAGGATTTACTGCAGCTCTGCACAGGCCAGGGAGGAGCAGAGGCACTGCACTGATTTCCTCTTGCATCAGCATGACTCAGCTTCAGAAGAACACAAACCACACTGGAATGGACCCCTGCACCAGATTTCACAGGAAAACCTTCAGGATAACAAGTTCCAGTTAAATCACTGCTGCTCCAAGCCTTGAAATCCTTGTTAAAGTTCGAGTTTAACGTTAAAGCCCCCAGTTGTTGGGAGGTTCAGCTGTGCCACACTGGCTGTGTGTGGTGGGGAAATACTGATTTATCATAGGAGAGAGAGTTAAGATTGTGTATATAATGTATTATAATATTTATGTAATATATTATATTTTAATATCATTCCCTTCCCCCCATATTGAGTCTTGTGCTGTGTCTGGAAGACCCATCTCACACTGGGGTGAGATGAGGGAGGGGGGCTTGGACTCAAGAACTGGATTTTAGGGGTCTCAAACCATGACACTGTGGCAGTGCAGGAATTCAGGGGGTTTTCTCTGGCATCCTTCAGCACGTCTTTGAGGCAGTTGTTTATCCCAAACTTTCGTGTAGGACACAGGATTTCCTCCTGTTCCTCTCAAACCACAGCCCTGGGATCCCACAAGGCAAACAGAGAATCTCCTGACCAGCCTCAATGGGTTTAGGAAGCAGATCCTCAAGGAAGGATAGACCTGAATTCATCTGTTAAATCCTGCTATTGATGTGCTAGACATGAACATTCCCCTCACCTTGGTTACTCCAGCTGGATCAGGTCAGATCAGGTTATTCAAGATGGTAAAGTGAAAGTGTCACTCGACAGCAGAGGCAGATAAAGGATTCACTGAACATTTTGCCTGGGAAATGGGTCATATCTTAACTTCTGTCAGTTTAAACAATTCATGCAGGCACCAAGCTTTGTCTTAAATATTGAACTGAAGCAGCTGAGGAAGAGGTTTGTGCTTGAGAACCCTCTTCTGACTCAGAGGCCAAGAGCTGAGGGACAGATAATCCCTTCAAGCTTCCCAGATGCCAGGGCTTCATGAAGTGCCCCCTCCCCACTTGATTTCCTGCTCTTTTCCCACATGAGCAGTGTAGAGGAGAGGCCAAGTCTTTCCCAACACTCCCTGAGCTGTAACCCCAGGGACACGAGGTCCAGAACCTGCTTGGAGCTTCTCCCCCTCATTCTGGGACTCTCAGGCTGCTCTTTATTTATTTATTACCCTCAGCACAGCACCAGAACCCCCCCAATTAAACTCAGTAATTCGTTACTGCCCCGGGCCAGTCAGCACCACAATAACACATCCATTAGCAAGCCCAGCACAAGAATAACGTGAGAGAAGAAAAGTTCCAGCTCTGACTTCACTCTGGAGCTTCTTTAAAACACCAATTAAGGGCGGATGGGGCCATTTGGAGCTTCTTTAAAACACAAATCAAGGGCGGATGGGGTGACTCTGAGCAGGATCTTTTAAAGCACTTCTAAAAGAGGAATTTTGATGCGTCATCCCCTGGATGCAGTGAGCACAATGCTCCGGGGCAGGAACGGTGCAGGGCAGCAGCAAATGCTCTGGGCTTGCATAACTCAAGTCTGGCTCAAGAAGAGCCTGGACTAAGAGTGTTCTTGCCTTCCTTTCATCAGCAAAGTGCACGAACTGCTGTTGGACACAGGGTTGCAAAGGGGTTTTGGGCCAAGGGGTTTTTTTCCCTTCCTTCAGTAGACCTGTAAAGCAGCAGAAGATGTCCCAGTGGGAAGGATCTAACTGGGAGCACTGTTCCACCTTTCCCAGCTGCAGCAGCAGGGAGGAATCCAGCTGCTGTGGGATTTGAGCCTCTCTGCCTGCAAATTCAGTGTTTCCAGAGCCACAGTGCTGTCTGCTCTCTTCTATGGACCCGAATCATGGGTCATCTACAGCCACCACCTGCGACTCCTGGAACGCTCCATCAACGCTGCCTCCGGACAATCCTAAACATCCACTGGGCAGATGATGGGACCAACACATCTGTTCTGGAACAAGCAGCAGTCACAAGGATTGAGGCCATGTTGTGAGAACACAGCTGTGCTGGGCAGGGCACGGCTCCAGGATGAAGGACCAACCACCCCCTCCCTAAGATCCTGCTTTATGGGGAACTTGCCACCGGCTGCTGCAAGAGAGGAGCCCCGAAGAGGAGATCCAAGGACTCCCTGAAACAACATCTCAGCCTTGGCCACATTGACCAACAGAACTGGTCTACTCTGGCCTCCAGTCGGGAGCTCTGCAGACACACCATCTATAACACTGCTGATGCCTTTGAGAAAGCACCAGGATCACTCCGGAGGAGAAAAGACAACGCAGAAAGAATCGTGTCCTGCAGAATATTCCACCCAAGGAGTCTTTCTGCTGTACCTTTTGCAACTGGACGTGTCTGTCTCGTATTGGCCTTTTTAGCCACCAACGTGTTTGTAACAAACGTGGGCAGAGCCCTTCCCAAATCTTCATTCACGAAGCCCAGCCATGATGATGATGGCATGAACTGCTGTTGGACACAGGATTGCAAAGGGGTTTTAGGCCAAGGGCTCTTTTTCCCCCTCCCTCAGTAGGCCTGTAAAGCAGCAGAAGATGTCCCAGTGGGAAGGATCTAACTGGGAACACTGTTCCACCTTTCCCAGCTGCTGTGGGATTTGGGCCTCTCTGCCTGCCCATTCTGCTTTCCCTGCCATCAGCAGCCCAGCACATGGCCATTTTCACCTCAAGATTCCATCCTCACGTGTGCATTTGCAGGAATAATCCTCATTAGTGTTCTGCTCATTCTTATTCTTCCAGCCTCACCTCCCTTCCCAGGAGGGCCCCAACCATGTCCAGCCACTCAACAAAGTCACAGGATCCTTTTCAAGCAGATCTGGCTCATTTGCTGCTCTCAAAAGGAGTGATTTTCTTTTGTCCCTAATGCTCTAAATACAAGGCTTGTATGCAAATAGGAACAGCCCTTCCCTTGCAGAGAGAAATATGGGCAACCACAATTATTAATTCTCCATTGTTGTTCCGACTTTAAACTGTTCTTTGGAGCCACTGTGATCTCTTTCAAGCAGTGGAGAAAAAGAACACTTTAATCACTAAAAGTGCATTAAAAATTCAACACTTGAATCCTGCCTAATAGATTGATATTTCCCATGAGCTGTCAGGGTAAGATTAGCTATTAAAAATTCACTTGTCCACAGGCATGTTAAATCCACCTGAAATTGGGTCTCTGCTTGTTTGCTTGTTTGTTTTTTTCTGGTTAAAGAGACACTTAAATTCTGACCTATTCACAATTTAAATAAATCAGGGGGAATTTATTTGTGCCTTTCTTTAATGTTTTGAGACTTCACTTCCATTTCAAGAGCCAGTTGGATCCTGCTGCTCCTTCCCAAAGTGCAGGAGCTCAGGGGAGTCAGGACTGCCTTGAGTTATCATTTCCATCCACGTGTCTTAAACTGCCCAAATTCTGCTTTACCACCTCAGGTGCCACCAGCTGGGCTGGGGACTGAGCTAGAGAAGACACCAACACCTGCAGAGAGTCAGGAAACCCAGTTAAAGCTCAAATCAGCCCCTGAAAATGCTGATTCCTCTCCCCTGCGTGGATTCAGGGGACACAAGGAGGAGTCTGTCCACAGCCTAAACCCAGGTCTAAGCAGCTACCTGTAAGAAAAACTCCTCTTTTAAATTTAGAAAGATGGCATAAAATCATGAAACAAAGGATTTCTGGGTCTGGTCTCACCCTGAGTTTTCAGGGAGAAAAGACCCTTTGGGTTTAATTTTCATGTATTTTATAGTTTCACAAAATCCCACCTTTTTTTCAGATAAGCTTAATATATTCATTTTTGCCTAAAAAGGTTTCTTTTCTTTGAAAAAGGGCCTTTCCCTTCTTTCCAATTGGCTGCTGGGCACTCTGTGTCAAAAATGATGGATCTTCCTTTATTCTTAGCCCCAAGAGAGAAAAGAAACCCTTGTGTACAAAATTCTTACATGACCTTGAAAGATTTTAATTTTTTTAGGAACTTTTATGTTTCCCTCATCCAGCCAAAAAAGACCCCTGACATCCAGGTCCAGTCTGGCACTTGGATATCTCACAACTTCACAATACATCTATAAAACCATATTTTTATTTCTCACATACCCCTGCCTCAGTTATTCCTTCCTTCAAGGAGCTGCAAGAATCAAGCCCCTGGTATTAAAAATTATTATTAAAATTTGGACTGGATGATCTTGGAGGTTTTTCAAACCTTAATCAGAGAATCCCAGAATGGTTTGGGTTGGAAAGGACCTTAAAGATCACCCAGTTCCATGGGCAGGGACACCTTCCACTAGTCCAGGTTGCTCCAAGCCTGGTCCAGCCTGGTCTTGGACATTTCCATAATTTAGGAGGAAAAAAACTGCAAAAAGAATAAAAAGGAGGAAAAAACATGGCAAAAATAATAAAA